CCTCCAACACCTACTTATAGTCCTCCAGTAAAACCACCACCAGTGCAACAACCTCCAACACCGACCTATAGTCCACCAGTAAAACCACCACCAGTGAAGCCTCCAACACCTACTTATAGTCCTCCCGTAAAGCCACCACCAGTGCAACAACCTCCAACACCAAGTTATAGTCCTCCTGTAAAACCACCACCAGTGAAACCTCCTACACCTACTTATAGCCCTCCTGTAAAACCACCACCAGTGCAACAACCTCCAACACCAAGTTATAGTCCTCCTGTAAAACCACCACCAGTGCAAAAGCCTCCGACACCCACTTATAGTCCACCTGTTAAACCACCACCGGTGCAAAAGCCTCCAACACCAACTTATAGTCCTCCCGTAAAGCCACCACCAGTGCAACAACCTCCAACACCAAGTTATAGTCCTCCAGTAAAGCCACCACCAGTGCAGAAGCCTCCAACACCAACATATAGTCCACCTATTACACCTCCCCCGGTGAAGCCTCCAACACCAATTTATAGCCCTCCTATAAAACCACCACCAGTGCAACAACCTCCAACACCAACTTATAGTCCACCAGTTAAACCACCTCCAGTGAAGCCTCCGACACCAACTTACAGTCCACCAGTAGTACCACCACCAATACAGAAGCCTCCAACGCCCACATACAGTCCACCTGTAATTCCACCACCTGTGCAGAAGCCTCCAACACCTATTTATAGTCCTCCACAAGTCGGTTATGGTACTCCTCCTCCATATGCACATCTTTCACAGCCTTAAGTAATGAGTTTAATATACTCTTGGAAAGATCGCCAAATAGGCTTTCTAGCACAAGAGATGTCTATGTTGTATATGATACCACATATTACGTGGTAAAATAAATAAAGTTTATAATGAATGTTAAAGTAACTTTTTATTTTTATCTTCATTTCAATAGAGATATATTTGTCTTTCAAATCTAAAAAATAAAGAAATATTGTGTAATTATTTTCCTGCATCAAGTAAATTATCTTTACATTTTTCTACTGAAATTTAGGATTTGGATACTACTCACATAACTTTGATGAAAAAAAAACCACAAATTAGACTCAACATCTCTGAAAGAAAGTGAATGATACTGAGAAGCAAATTCATGTGATATGTACATAATAGGAAATGTTTTTCTTTTGGAATAATGAAAGAAGAAAAAAGAAAGGTTTACCTTTGAAGGGTTGTACCAATCACTCGTTGTTCTAAACACTAATGAATGCCTGCGACATTCAGCAAAGCAATATTTTGTCATGTTGTGGATGAAAACAAAAAGAAAATTAAATTAAAATAGAAATACTGAATATGGAAAACTGTAATATATATGAAGAATAATATTTTGTAAGAAGAAAGTAAGTAAATAATTTCATTGAACTCAAAAGTCAAAGCCGGTCATGAATATAAGCAAATAAAACATATGCTTTGTGGCCAAAAATAACATATACTTTTAAGAACTAATATATAACAGGAAGTATAAACTAGTTCTACTGGTATGAACATATCAATTTTGTCTTTTACCAAAAAAACATATCAATTTTGTAACAAGAAAGCTCGTTGGAAACTCAATGATAACTTTTAATATTTTCATGTTTTTCCAAATTAATGAAGCAGAATTTTTTTTTTTTTGGCTTTTGGGCTAATAATTACCAGGGCGCCCCTGAATCTCATGCAAACACTATTTTTTTTTTGTGAACTCTAAGGATATGAACTAGAAAATTAAACTGCCTTAAAAAATAAGACTGAAGATAGAAATGCAAGTTATATTCTCCCTCCCCCACCCCTGCCTCCCTTACCTCTAAGATGATTGACTGATTTGTGCACAACTTTGATCTCTGATTTTTAGGCCGACGTCGACCCAGCAGCGAAGCCAATAAGGCAGTTGGGACTGTACGTGCACCCATAATTTTATCAATAGTAATAAGTTTTGAACGTATAGGTCATAAGTTCTGGCTAACTATAATGGTTAAAGTCTATAGGTTCACCCCTAAACATCCAAGGATCGACATACACTTAATTTGCTATTTATTTTCCCTTTTCTTAATTGTGCACCCACTAAAATAAACTTCTAGCTTCACCCTTGCATCGACCGCGGCATCGGTCCTACTTAATATTTCTTTTTGTTTCTTCATTTTCACATATGAAAATAAATGGATGCGAGAGAACCAATCTGTGAGAGAAATGGATGACTTCATTTGCAACTTATGATGGTCTCTTTGTTGTAATTGGATGGATACTGTAACTTTTTATCCTAAGAGTATCTCAATTTCCACTCCATAATTTACTCAATTTTACTCGAAAATAGAGTGAGAAATAAAGTAATGAACAAAAAATATATGCATAATTCCATTTATGGAGTAATATTTTATTTTTTGTTCATCACTCCATTACCCACTTTATTTTGGAGTAATGAAAATGAAAATGTTCTATTGATTGAAACTTACATTCAGATTCTTCGGTTGCCAACCTTCCCTCTTGGCCTTTCTTGGTTATCATTAATAATAATAAAAGTGTTGTCAAAAAAGTAAAGTAATTAAAATATGTTCTTTTTTTTGTTTTTTGTTTTATATTTTTCTGGAAAATCGATTTTTAATACATCGAAACTGAATATTTCCAAATATTTTTAGTGCCATATTTTCGAAACTGATTGTCTTTATCCGTAGAATATGTATTCTACTATATGTAGAATACAATAATAATGTTTGAAATCAATTTCTACAGATTTTATATTTATAATAATGTGTAGATTCTGAAATCTACTGAGTTTAGATTTATAAGTATTTGTAGATTCTAAATTCTATTGACTTAAAATGGATATGTTAAGCGCGGAATGTGTATTCCAGATAATTTTGGATTAATAATTTTTACGTAAAACATGTATTCTGAATGTATTAGATTCAATGAAAAAGTGAATTTCATTTTCTACTTTGTAAACTCTCACTTCTATTTTATGTAGAACATGATTTGAAATTATGATTTAAATATTTTTAGATTTGAAAAAAAAATCACTAAATTGATATAAGTATTTCATCAGTAGTTACTATTTTTCCATTTTTTTTGTTTTGTAAAACTATTTATTTTCGAAAATAATAGAAAGCATCTACTCTATTAAAACATAATCCTTATTTTATCTACTGATACAAATTGTCATTTAAATTTGGACATTTTCTAGAGTGTTACAAATAATATAATTGATTAAACTGTATTATTTAAATTAAACCAACACAATTAATATGCATATTTTTATATATCATCAAAATAAGAACTATGGAAATTTACTATTTATATGAAACCAATAAGTTTCATATTTTAACAGTTCCTTAAAAAATATGGAAATCTACTAATTATATGAAACCAATAGATTTTGTAAATCTACTAATTATATGAAACCAATATATTTTGGAAATCGTAATATACCGTTTGTTTTATTTTTATTAAATAATTTACTCATTATTTTTAAAAATAAATAAATGTAAAGCAAAACCAAAAACCTAATCTAAAAATTAAAAACTAAAACCAATAGTTGAAATTGCGGATTATATTTCTGTTTTTGTTTATTTACAAAATAATCTATTGCAAAATAAACTATTGCAAATTAAATCAACACAAGTAATATGCATATTTTAAAATATCATCAAAATATGAACTATGGAAATTTATTAATTATATGAAACCAATAGATTTCATATCTTAACAGCTCCTTAACAAATATGAAAATCTATTAACTATATGAAACCAATAGATTTTCGAAATCGTAATATACCGTTAGTTTTATTTTTATTAAATAATTTACTCATTATTTTTTTAAAAAAATGTAAAGCAAAACCAAAAACCAAATCTAAAAATTAAAAACCAAAACCAATAGTTGAAAACGCGGGTTATATTTTTTTTTGTTTATTTACAATGTAAACTATTGCAAATTTTTTTTTATCAATTTTAAATTAGATATTCGATTATTTGGGATTTGTTTGTTGGTAATATCATTTCAAACTAATTCAGCAGATCTAAAAATTAAACACCATAACCAAAAGCTAAAAATCAAAAATAGAAACTTAAAAACTAAAATCCAAAAATCAAAATCCAAGAAAAAAACAGGAAACTAAAAAATTAATGCAGCATAATCATCACCATAAATTTTGGATTACTGATTTATATCAAAACATACTTTAGATAAAGATAAAAACTAATTACATAAATTCTTAATTATAAAAAAAATTCGCGCTTGAAAAACGTGGGTTAAAATCTAGTTAGAGATAAAAAATGATACAAAATAGAAATTATTGTAATATCTAACGATAATAACAAGTTTAGCACCCAAAAAGATGAAAGTAAGTTATGTATATGGAGACAGCAAGTGACGAGATACTCACATAGAAAAAAACAACAAGAATACTTCGCCAGGTTGATTCAACTTAGAAACAATTCTTACCAAAGAAACGTAGATCCCAATGATTTTCTAAAAAAAAAAAAAAGCAGCATTGGTTTATTCTTGAATCGAAGATTTCACATTGATCTGTTGATTTCAACTAAAAATGACACATTTTATCAGCCCTATAATATTTTCCAACCATGGTGAAATATCATATAATAAGAAGAGGTCTTCCAGGTAGTGATTCCCACGTTCGACCGTCCTCCTAACCTATCTTTCTTGATCGCCACTCACTCGACGTGTACCTTGGTCTTTTATTATATCTTTAGTTAACTAAACCAAGTTTTTTTCACGAGACATGACAATCACATATCAGCCCTTGCGTATCAAGCATTGACATTGCCGTGTAAAAACCCTAATCGAGAAGAAGAAGACAAACGTCTGTTCTGTGTACAATTGTTTGATTAACGTGGCTGTCAAGGAGAGATAGCGCGAGTAAGAGGACGCGGCAAGCCCGAACTTTCGCGGTTCGGCAGCTCCGCGTCGGTAAGTCGAGTCGTCTCTGAACTATCTCGTTGCTTCTTGACCGATAACATGGCGGATCAGGCAAACAGCCAGCAAGACATGGACATTGGTCCCCCGACCAATATATGCCATGTGGCTCACGTGACATACGATCGCTTCGATGGCTTCCTCGGTCTCCCTTCTGAGTTCGAGCCTGACGTTCCCAAAAAAGCCCCCAGTGCAAGGTAGGAATCTATTGCTAAAAAATTCGTTTCACATTGACTATATATATTGTGATCTAAACATAGTATATTAGATGCACAATCATGAACCTTTTAGATGGTTCAGTAACATATTAGGAAGGTTCCACAAATGATAATTACATGGCCGGTCTTGGGAAAAGCCGAATGAAACATTTGTATATCCCCAAAAATTTTGCATAGACATAAGCCACCGAATTTGTAAAAAAAAATAATTATTTATTGAAACTTTTGGTCATCTATAGCCTCTAAAATCTTAGGACTGGCCATTGTGATTGAACATGTATTCTTCCTAGACGATTTAATAACCAGCTTGCGGTTTACAGTGCAACAGTGTTTGGGGTTTCTACAGAGTCAATGCAGCTATCGTACGACTCTAGAGGGAACTGTGTTCCGGTCATACTGTCGCTATTACAAAGCCGACTATACGATCAAGGAGGTTTGAAAGTTGAAGGCATTTTCAGAATCACAGGAGATAACAGCGAGGAGGAGTTTGTAAGAGAGCAGTTAAACCAAGGAGTTGTACCAGAGGGGATCAATGTCCACTGTCTTGCCGGACTTATCAAGGTTTATAGCTTTTAACAAAACTCTACGATCCGATCCATCAGGATTTTAGATTTGGCTTTAGCTGATGTATATTGGAATGTTTTATCAGGCTTGGTTCAGAGAGTTGCCGAGAGGAATACTTGATTCTCTGCCGTCTGAACAAGTGATGCAGTGTGAGACAGAGGAGGAGTTTGTGAAGGTAGTGAGATTTTTACCGCAGGCGGAAGCTTCTCTGCTGAATTGGGCAGTGAATCTGATGGCTGATATTGTAGAGTTTGAAGATGTTAACAAGATGACCACACGTAACCTTGCTTTGGTCTTTGCGCCAAACATGTCTAAGGTTAGTGTTCTTGTGATGCTGTCATTGCTACTTATCAACTCCTCCCTGATCCGCAAATTGGGTCTGTATTTGGATTTATTGTAGATGGCAGATCCTCTAACAGCGTTGATGTATTCGGTCCAAGTTATGCACTTGCTGAAGAACCTCATAGACAAAACACTCAGAGAGAGGAAAGTTGCATCTTCCCAAATGGATCCTTGTGGTGACAGTGAAGGTGAAGTTGGTGATGTGGAAGAATACAATCAAGAAGAAGAAGAAGACGACAAAGGTGTTGATGATGTGAACAAGGAAGAGGAGATCATGGTCAAGGTGGAAGATGAAGTCAAACCATCAAATGATTTGAATTTCGATAAGGAAAAGAAACAGGAAACAGGAAACATGAAGACAGATGTTGGAAAATTCACATCCTTTTAATATATACTACTATCATTTTTCATTGTTCATTCTTCTCCTTTTCATTTGACATTTACATAAGAAAAATACAGTATTTCATTATGTAGACGCCAAACACAAACGATCCATGTATTATGTAACCAAAACTGGTCGCCTTGAAAGAGACGCAGCAAACTTTGAGCTGCGTTTGATTGAAAAAATACAAGTGAAACCTATTTTGAGGTCCTTATTTTTGGGTTTGCCAAGATTAAGCCAGCTATAGTAGTGAATGATTGTTTTCCCAGTGTCATCTTATGGAACAAAGGTTTCAACAGCATAAGATTCAAAGGTTACCGTCCATTGTAAGAAGCACCTTGTACAACTCTGGACGGCGGTCACGAAACACTCCCCAACTTTGCCTCTTCGACTTGATCTTCTCAAGATCAAACTGTGCCACAAGAACAGCTTCCGTTTTGTCATCGGCCTCGGCCACAATTTCACCTGTCGGTCCTGCCATATCACATAACGAACGCATTATATACGCTTTAAAGTTACTGATCTCTCATCTGAATCAATAGTAAAATGTTACCAGCAATGAAGGAGTTCCCATAGAAAGTGATCTGGCTCGGTCCATGCTCGGTTTCAATTATCTCCTTTCCTATGCGGTTCGAAGCTACTAGAGGCACCTGAAACCAAAAGTATTCCCCCACTTCATTAGCAGAAAATTTGATTAATTATTTGAAAAAAAAAGACTCATCAATCTAACCACAGAAAGCACATACTGTCAAAGATACATGTAGTCTATTGCTCATGTTACTGTAAAATCGCTCACATTCACAAGTTATACTCAAAGCAATTTGATAAGACAATAATAAGCTCACCACATTAGCTCCAGCATGCCCTTGCATGACTCTCCTCCAATGATCACGCGAATCCAAACCCTGGTCTTGAGGCTCAGAACCAATGGCAGTTGGATAAAACAATACTTCAGCACCCTGTAGAACCATAGCTCGAGCTGCCTCAGGAAACCATTGATCCCAACATATAGCTGAATAAAAACATTGCACCAACACTTCATTTATAATGCCACCAACTTAAAACACACACAAGGGACAAAGAAAAAACTATACATAGAGTAACTTACCAACTCCAATTTTCGCAAACTTTGTCTGGAAAACCTATTAACACCAATCGAAAAGTTAATCAAATCATGTTAAACCAAATAGCATATGATTCTTCTAGTGAAAAACTACCTTGAAGCCAGTGTCTCCAGGATTGAAATAAAACTTCTCTTGATACCCTGAAATTAAAAAAAAAAAAAAGTATCAGAATCAAACAAAGTCAAGCTCTTTCCAACTCCAAAACTTGACTCTCACCAGGTCCATCAGGAATATGCGACTTCCTATAAATCCCAAGGTCAGTTCCATCAGCGTCAATAATAGCAATAGAGTTGTAATGTGCATTATTTGCCTCCTCAAAGAAGCTAACGGGTATCACAACACCCAGCTCCTTTGCCAGCTTCTGCATCCTGCACTACTAGTAACCATTAAATCACACTATATATAACAAAAGGAAATAAAAATGGTCAAACCTTGCAATGGTAGGATGGTCCTTGTAAGGCTTGGCTCGTTGAAAGAAGTCCTCTCTTTGTGCTTGACAGAAGTAATACCCTTCGAAGAGTTCCTGCAATGAACTAAGTCTATTAGATCACAACACACGCAACAATAGGTTGATTGATAAAAAGTAATCACTCCCCTCCCCCTCTCTCTTGAAAATATTATAACTGCAAACCCTCCAAACCAACCCGAGTCTTTTACTTCTTTCTATACTCTTCCCCGTCACTACTAGCCGATCAAATAATTATTATGCTGTCTATCTTGTATTGTATGTAAGTGGGAATCTAAAATAAGAGGACCTGAATAAGAACGATGTTTGCTCCTTTTGCGTGAGCTTCTCTGACAAGCCTGCATAGATGTAAGCAAGTTAGCTTCTCAACGAGCAGGGATATGAGCAAAGGGAGAAGATAAAGCAAACCTTTCAGCGTTGGCGACGTTGGAGGAGAGATCGTCGGAGCAGGCGAATTGAAGAGACGAAACAACCACTTCTCGCCTTCTTCCTTCCATTTCCATTGCTCTCTCTCTCTCTGTATTTTCTCTCGGGTGGGTGAAAGAAGTGACTGCCACTTGAAAGGAAAGAGGAGAAAGAGAATATATCTACTCCTTTTTTTTTTTCTGAAATCGAATAAAGGGGTCTGTCTTACAAACGCTAACGCCCAAGTTTCTATTATTTTCGGTCTTACAATGCAGCCATAGCGATTGCGTTTGCGGTCACGGACGTATGCAGATACAAGAGATTACAGTTTTAATCGTTAGTAAGAGATTTATGCGACTGGTTTAACGATTAAAAATTGTTGCGTTTACAAGATACTTATGACTGATTTATCATCAAATACAACAACAATTAAATAATAAATTAAAATATTTATATTTTATATAGTTATCAAAATACTAAAACCATAATTTCATTATACATATAAAAATTTTATTTGAAAAACTGCACTATTAATTTTTTTAAAAATTAAAGAAATTTTTTTAGATAATATAAATATTTCAGTATTTCAATTATTTTAATTTAAAATTCTAATTGAATATTTTATTTTTATATTTATATAGTTTTTTGGAAAAAAAAAATTATCCTCCTGCAACCGCAAACGCTAGATAGAACCAATTTTTGAATTTTAGAGACTCAGAACGATTTGAAGCGATTTATAACGTTTTCTATAATTGTTACAAAACGCTAACAACCGCTACCAACCGCAAAAGCTGTGTTTTCGGGTGATGGGGGGAGAACCAGTCAGACCCTTATTCCCTTTTAACGCAAACGCTTAGACCTCCTAATTTTTCCAATATAAATAATATTTATTAATAACTTATTTCTATAAAGAAAGTTTATGAACCGGCGAATTTGGATAAAAATCATCCAATTTGAGGAAATAAAAGATATGTAATGGATGAAATCATGAATTTGGATAAACTTGTTTTCTCACAACTATTCAAATGTAAATTCATTTTCTTATGCCAGTTCTAAATAATTATTTGTGATGTTTGTAACAAAAAAAAAACTTTCATATTTACTTTCATATTTAGTTATGCCAGTACTAATTTTTCCAATATAAATAATATTTATTAATAACTTCCTTTCCTATAAAAAAAGTTTATGAAGTGGCGAATTTGGATAAAAATCATCCAATTTGAGGAAATAAAAGATATGTAATGGATGAAATCATGAATTTGGGTAAACTTGTTTACTCACAACTATTCAAATGTAAATTCAATTTCTTATGCCAGTACTAAATAATTATTTGTGATGTTTGTAACAAAAAAAAAAAACTTTCATCCAAATTCATATTTAGTTTTGTTCTTCAATAGAATTTGTTAAATATACCAACTTTAAATTTTTATTAATCAAATCTTCAAATCGACTCTTGACATATTACAAAACTTTAATCAAACTCATAGTTTTGTGAACAAATTTCTCGTATAAAATTAAACATGATCAGTTACAAAATTAATTTAAATATATCATTGTGACATTTCAAAGATTTCATGTGACACGTAGAGTTATTTTTAACTTTTTACTAGATTTGAACCCGCGCAACCGCGCGGGTATTTGCTTCCATTTATTTTATATAAATATTTTTTATTTTTAAACTGGTATATATTATATAACGGATGTATATCGAAAATGATGATTAATTATTATATAGTATAGATTGATTATTGTTAGAAAATGATGATTTTGTTATTTTTAAAAATAAACTATATAATTTTTAAAGTTAACATCAAAAATATATAAATAATTAACTTAAACTATTACAATATTAAATTATATAAGTTTGATTTAAACATGTATTTTATTATAATATATATAAATCTAATGGATCATCTAATTTTTATTAACCCAATAAAAATTTCTAGTAAGCCCAATACATGTTATTAGTGAATCTAATGAATATTATTAATGATTGAATAATGTAATGTCATAAATTCTATTAGATGGTCCATTTTAAAATATCACACATGAAATGAAATCATGATTATCTTTTAATATATAAGACTAGATACTGACCCGCCCTTTAAAGAGCGGGTATATTATTTTTTTAATGTTTTGGAAAAAAATAATTATATTTGCATTTTTTTGTAATCACATTATGCTTAATATTAATTCAATTTAATATAATATTTGGTGACTATATTAAATATGTTAAGTTACATAACTATACACTTGTGTCATATGTATTTTAGAAAATAATTTTGAATTTTATTCCTATAGGTTACAACATATTATATACCTAAATATTAGTCGAGAAAATTTGGACTAAAAAAGGACTCGAAATCGATCCGAAATTAAAGTCTCATACTCGGTTAAACCTAGCTTGTATACTCAAACGTTTTTTATAGTGTTATATCTGAATACCAATATCAAACCTAGCTCGCACCAAAAACCCAACGATTCTTTTGAAAAAAATGTTTGAAAAAGAATTTTTCATATTGTCTGTTATATATATATAAATAATATGTTAATATGGTCTTCACTAAATTTAAGCTAAATCATAATTAATAATATTTTTAATCAAATAAACTATTTAAAACCCATTAAATCAAATAATATATTAAAAGTTCACTTATAAAAATTAAATGTCATTGATGACCCATTTCACCAGTAATTAATATTAATCTTAGGTAACTTTCTTATTTAACTTAACTTTTATTTTATAGTAAACAAACTTAAGAAATATATATCCATCGGTTTGTATATATATTTCTGTTTTAATATTATATATACTCAGAAATATTTAATATTTATTACAAAATATTTCTTAAGTTTCAGATAAATGTAGAAGCTAATCTTCAAAAAAAAAACAGATAAATGTAGTTATATGTTAAGTTAGAAAAGAGGTTTATTACTATATATTATTGTGGTCTGTTAGATATATATGTACAAAAAATGAAGATAATTATGCTTTGTTTTCTTTTTGAAACCAATTATGCTTGGTTATGGTATTAGTTATCCCCCACTTTTTAGCATCTTTTTGTTTTGTTTTTGTTTGATTAGATATGGGTGCAGTTACAAAAAAGAAACTGTCGATAATTAGGCAATATAAGTGATAGTTACATCCATATTCTATATTTCAGTTTCTATGCAGTTATACTAAATAAGTATATATTATTAAATTTTAAATTGGACATAACTTTTATCAATTGGACATGTTGCTGTTTTAATAGTATTGATGTGATATCTCCACAAAATTTATTTTTTTACAAAAGTTTGAAAGAGCGGTTAAACTTCACCGCACCGCAACGCAACGCAACGCAACGCAACGCACCTTACTCGTGCAAATAAGTTTACGTCATCACTCGTAAGCTAACGTGCGCAGTAAACGAATTGGCGCACAGACTCGCCGTCCTCCTCCATTTCCCCGAACCACTAAAAACCTTAAACATACAAAAAAAAAGATCTGAAGAAGAGAAGATGGCCGTGCGAGCAACGGTATCGCGTTTCCCGATCGATTCCGACGCTCTAGAGGCGTCAGGTCTCCCCTGGGGACTCACAGTAACGCCATTCGCGTCCAAAGACGAGAGCGGCATCGGACCAGCGTACGGATCCAACGGCCATCTCCTTCCTCGCTGCGAAAACTGCTACGCTTACTTCAACACTTACTGCGAGCTCGATCAGTGGGCGTGGACCTGCTCGCTTTGCGGCACTCTTAACGGACTCCCTTCCGATGCGATCGCTCGTTACTCCAATCCTCACTCTATCCCCGAAATGAGTTCCTCCTTCATTGATCTCGAGTTGCCTCGTTAGTTCTTTATCATCATCATCATCGTCGGCTCTTGTATCTGTTGGTTTTGATTTTTGTTTGATCGATTGTTGTTTTTTTTCCTAGTGGATGGATCGGACGAAGAGATGACGCAAGCTCGGCCTGTATATGTTGCAGCGATTGATCTCTCGTGTAAGGCTTATCTCTTCTTGTGTGGTTAGTGTAGATTGTAGTTGAATTGCGCGTTGGTGAAGTTTGAAAGCAATGCATGTAGAATGTTGCTGACAATTTGGATTCAATGTGATGTGGATCGTGTTTTCTCTTGTTCTCATCGAGTTTTTGGTTGTTTATGGTGTGATGTTGATGATCATTTCGTTCATCTTCATCAAGTTTCTGTTTGATTTGTTTGGATATAATGTGTTATACTTCGTGAAACATCCAAGACTCTCATTCTTGTGAATATGGTTTTGAAACTTGCAAGAAACAATTTCTTCAGCTTTACGATCGTGCACTGTTGTGTTGCTCATAATCAACTTTCCAAATCTGTAGCTTCTGAGGAGTTTTTGGAGCTCACGAAAAGTGCATTGCTAGCTGCTCTGGAAGGTCATTTGATACGAAACTTATTTAAGCAACGATTGGATTTTTTATTCTGTGTGAATGTGTTCTAAAGGTGAATTTTTTTTGTTTTCTATGTTGTAGCTCTGAGTCCAGGGTCTCTTTTCGGTCTTGCTACGTTCAGCCACAAAATTGGACTGTATGATGTTCAAGGACCTATACCAGTTGTAAAGAATGTGTTTATTCCACCTGATGCTGAGAGCAAATTACCTTTAGAACTTGAGGATGCTATGCTTTTGTTACAGTTTTTGGCTCCGGTATGTTCATTTTTAACATCTACTTTCTTGTTTTTTACTTTCTTGGTCATTCATGGTGGTTGTTGGACAAACAAAATTGTTAGGAACACTTGTAGGAAGACTAAGTTCCCGTTCTATACTTACCTGCAGGTAGAAACTTGCAAGGATCGTATTGCTGCCGCTCTTGAGACACTCAAACCAATAACTTCTTGGGAGAGGTCATCTGGAGCAGCTCAAGGGATAGATGGTATGTTGATGGGTGGTAGAGGATTTGGTACAGCAATGGAAGCTATCTTCAACTATCTAGGATCCGAATTTGGGAACACATTTGCATTAGGTATGTGAAAGAAATATATAGCTTTTCCATACTCTATATTTCAACATAATCTAGTTTTTCTTTCCTCCTTGGCTTCTTTTGCTCTGTGTAGTGTTTTACTGACTTGATATAAGTGCAGCTAGGGTGTTTGCTTTCATATCTGGTCCTCCTGATTATGGACGTGGGCAGCTGGATACAAGCAGGTATGGTGAACAATACGCAAGTAAAAGGGTTGATGCTGATCGTGCTCTTCTTCCTGAGCAAACACCGTTCTACAAAGACATAGTACGTCTTACTTAAGTACTTCTCTCTCTCAAAAATAGATATACTTTTAGCTTTTAGAACTGACATCTCTTTTATAGGCCACCATTGCTGTTCAATCAGGTGTATGCGTGGACGTGTTTGCAGTTACAAATGAGTACACAGATTTAGCATCGTTAAAGTTCCTTAGCATCGAAAGTGGCGGCTCTCTATTCTTGTATTCAAGTACTGATGATTCGACCCTTCCCCAAGACATGTTAGTTCTAATACGTTCCCAATACTACTTGTTTTCATTTCAATAGAAAGAAGGCATGCTGTGTTTACTTTTAACAGATTATTTGAAACAGAATTGCATGATTTTCTTTTGAAGGTTTCGGATGCTTAACCGTCCGTATGCTTTCAACTGCGTCTTGAGATTGAGGACGTCAACTGAATTCAAACCCCTCCACTCTGTATGTGGATTTAGTGAGAAGCAAAATTTTGGATGATACTCTGTTTCTTTTTGTTTCAGCTAACTATTTACCATTGCTTGCAGTATGGTCACTTCTTTCCCGATCCACAGTACGAGAATCTTCAACATATCATATGCTGTGATTCATATGCAACATATGCTTATGACTTTGATTTTGCAAATAATACTGGGTTTTCCAGGTAAATAGACAATAATTTCTTTTTCTTATTCATGATTGAGTTGAAGGGATGAAAGGATGCATATTCTTTCCATGCGTCAGAGTTTTATGAAGCTGCTGATCATTGATGTTAAACTTATATTCTTTCGCTGTTTTATGCCTTTAGAAGAACTTATAATTACTCATCATTACCTTTTCCAGACATTCTAGAGAGCCACCTGTGGTGCAAATTGCATTCCAGTACACAGTTGTTGTACCTCCCGAGGGACTGCAAAATTCTGAATTGCCATCTTCAAGTAGGTATGAATCCATATGATAAAGCTATTGATTAATCATTGTAGTCGCTGTAAACTTTTGAATAGTCCAACATTCAGAGAGTTTTGTATCCGTGAGAAGAATTTCATACCTCGTATACTTGTTCATGCTAGACCCTAGAGTTGATAGTAAATCTCAAACTCTCCTATCGTGTTATATGCAATCAATGACCAGAGCCCAGAGTAGTTGTTTATGCTAATCAATACTGTGGATCTTGTAATGCTTCGTTTAAATCTTGATCTAATTCATGTTCCACAGAGGCCAACACTTAATTCAGAGACGACTAAGGATCAGAACCATCCAATTTGGAACTGCCCAAAACATAAATGAGATTTACGACAGTGTGGATCATGAAGTTGTTCTCTCATTGCTCGTTCACAAGGTAAAATATCATTTCATGTTACAATCTATTAACTAACCTGCTAATCATGTATGTATTTACTACTTATCGTAATTATTTTCTTACTGCAGGTAATTTTAGTGTCTCTAGAGGATGGAGTCCGAGAAGGTAGGGCATTGCTTCATGATTGGCTAGTAATCCTAACGGCGCAATACAACGATGCCTATAATCTCGTCCAATACAAAAACGGAAACAAGTCAATGAGTTCTCAGATTGACATCACGTTTTCACAATGTCCCCAACTTGAGCCTTTACCTCGTTTAGTCTTTGCCTTGCTCCGTAATCCTCTCCTCCGGTTTCATGAAGAAGGTGTTCATCCTGATTACAGAATCTACTTGCAATGCCTTTTCAGGTAAGCCACTCATTCCATTGAACTAAATAATAAGTTTGTAACATCAAAGTCGCTAGATTTTCCTGTTTCTTTTTTCTTATTGCAGTGTGTTGGAACCGAGTTCTCTTCATTGCGGGATTTACCCATCGTTAATGTCATATTCAACACCGGATAAACAGGCGTATCCGCGTCATTCATTGAGCCGTGCAGCGTTGTTAACAAGTGGTAGTCCCATATTTTTCTTAGATGCATATACCACTTTGATAGTCTTCTACTCATCAACAGCTGACCCGTCACTTCCTTTCCCTCCACCACAAGACTGTAAGTTTGCTCGCTAAAAGTGAAAATCCAACTAAATTACCTTTTTAAGATATAAGATAGCTTATGTACATATGAAACTTTCTTATTACAGGTTTATTGAGGAAGAACATTAATATGGTGAAGCAAGGAAGGAGCATCACACCAAAACTGATGTTTATTCGAGGAGGGAAAGACGATGCTACAGCATTTGAGACCTATCTTATTGAAGAACAAGCCGTGGACGGTAGGGGTTTTCCTAGCGCCATGGGTTTTGTTTCTTTCCTGGACGATATTTCGCGGAGTGTGGCTGAATACATGAAGTAAAAGCAACAAATGGCTACTCAGTTACCTTTTTTTTATACATCCGAAAACATCGAAAAAATTCAAATGTATCAAACGTTTCCCAGCTTGAGTTTTTACTCTTTTTGTTGTAACATTTGCGTAGACTAACATCCCAACATTTTTAAATTTTGTAGAATCCCTTGGTCCAGTGGTTCATTAATGTGTTTACGTCATCCTGATAGGTTTTTGGTATCAAATCCTGGTAAACAAAGATGAGATGATTGTATTATCATCATTTTCCTCACCATATCGTTTTGGTTGACATTCAAAGGCTGTAATGGAAACTTGAAAATACGAGTGAGAAAAGAGATGAACACAAAAGAAAAACAAAAGAATCGATTGAATGATATTAAACCATTTTATTAACCAGTTGGAACCCGGTGACCATCGATGAACACTAAAAAGGCATATCCTGAGACGTTTTCATACAAAAGCATACCTTTAGAAACACACAAATCCGTAGAAAGAAACTGATAATAATAATAATAATAACAATAACTCAAATAACAATCTGCATCACCACCGAACTCAGAAGAGTTCAGTTTCCTTGTGGGTATGAATCACACAGTCAGACTGCGGGTAAGCCACACAAGTCAGAACAAAACCTTTCTCCAAGTGATCATCCTCAAGAAACGAACCCTCAGTCTGATCAACTTGCCCTTTCACAATCTGACCCGCACACGTGGAACACGCACCGGCTCTGCAAGAGTATGGCAAGTCAACTCCCGCCTCTTCAGCTGCATCCAATATGAACTGGTCGTCCTGAACCTCGAACTCATTCTCTTCCCCTTCTGGTCCTATGAGCTTGACCTTGTACACAGCTGACATCTTGGCACCTGAATTGGCTGAGCATTTTAAGCCAAAGGATCTCGAGACTTTCTTGACTGATCCAACGGAGACTTGCTGGTGGTGGCTCTTGTTAGTGATGAACTTGTTGGTGGGTTGGCTTCTAAGAACCGCCTTGGTGGTGGTTGTCATGCTAGTGGAAGAGACTCGAAATGTCGCCATTTTTGTTTACGCAACTGCGTTAAGAAAACTCAAATCATTTTAAATGGAATATTATGACTAATCTCTATAAGACAATCAATTTTTAAAGACAAGAATGTGCATCACAAGTAGCAGCTGAACCATAAAAGTATGTTTCAATTGCAAAACTGATGTTAAATATAATACTATATGGAGCGTAATGAGAAGATGCAAGCTTTAAAGCTGTGTATTAGCTCTTCACTCGATGCTCCAAAGACTGATAATGAATCACTAAACATGTTTTAAGTAAAGTTAATCAAATCGCTTGAATGTTTTATATTCCACCGATTTTTTTTACTTTATATTAGTATTGAAAAATGATAAGTTCGATTTTAGCATCATCTCCATCGCAACATGACATCAGATCAGTCAACATCGCAACAAAGTTTTTATATATTTTTGTCCCCACAACGAAACAAGTAGGTTTCATCTACAAACATATCTAATCAGATCAAATAACTATCTGAGAAACAACAAATGAAAATAGAATCAAATCTCAGAAACTGAAACTTACCGAGAGAAAAAGAAGGGAAGGGTGGAGGAGGCGGAGACTACAAAGAGGAATTGGTTGATTGAGTTGGAGAAAGATTTATAAAGAAAAAAATAAAAGTGGGGGGGGAGTGTGGCTTTTGGAAGAGCGTGACGGCCCAGCTTGCTTCCCACCTTCGTCGGCTATTAATTTTTTGTTTTAATTTTTTCAATAATTACAAACTAATCTGTCTTTTAGTTAATTATCTTGTCATGAAAACATAATCCAATATGGAAATTGGTAATTGTTTAATTGAATCAAGTATCATTTTATTTCTTCAGATCATATAATTTTCTTTATATTAAATTTTTTTTAATATTTATATCGAATTTACAGAAATGTATATGGCTTATCGATCAGATAATCTATTTAAGCGTAGGTATTAAAATATCAATTTTTAAATTGTAAAAGTTATTATCCTAAACAGTATATTTCTAGTACATTAAGTTTAGACTATAAGATATAAATATTTTATAATTAAATACAAAATCATTTATTTCTAAGAAAATATATGTTTACATATGATGGTTTTATGCGCTAATATTGAATAATTGCAAACTTTAAAACATCAATTGTATTATTATTAGTTTAAAAATATAAATAAATAACAAGGATTTATTATCTAATTTTAATGTGTTTTTAATATCCAAATACATATATCTTTCAAAAACAGAAAGAATGTCTAATGGTCTTTTGTTGGTGGATGAGTGAGATCAAAGGTCAAAGTGGGAAGTTGGCACTACAATGTTGCGATCTCGTGTCCCTTAACTCATGCCATTGGGCGTATGCAACGTTTTAGCCTAAAAGGGATGGATAGTTTTGAATTTATTTAAATAAATTATTTTGCTTCTCTTTAAACTATTGTGAATTAACGATTTATGTCGACACAAATCGACGAAACTCGGCACTATTTGGCACATCCTCTCTTCTCCTAATAATGTCTTCTAACTTAACCGACTAATTGCTGATCCAATCATCTAGCCAAATTGTTACCCTACTTAAAGTTGATCCTATTTTCTTCTGACCCTACTTTTGAATTGCTTCTGCATCTCTACTCAGACAACTTCTCACAAAAATGTAGATTCAGGTCGCAGAAACTTCTCTAAAGCAAAAATGAGAAATCCTAATAGCCACAGGATGAAACTCCTGATTCTTTCACTCCACGAGACATCAGAATCCAACCAAGAATCATTCACCAACTCATATGTTTGGCCACATGCCACAACTTTGATCAAAGAAAAATTTTCGGACTAATAAAAGCATTTCATGGCCATAATTTTATAAAATTGAACTGGAGAGTTGATATTGAAAACCCAACATTGCATATTATAGTCTTAACAAAAAGCAAACTAACATTTCAGTTCTGCTAATATCAAACAAAACCATAACTCAAATATCTCTGAAACAAACAAAAAACCACAAAGCAAAACGTTCGAGGATGCAAGGAGTGAGACGACTCAGAAGATTCTCTGTGGTGGTCCCATGGTGCTCTTTAAGTACAAACACCTCACCTGCAAAAAAAGATATCATTTCAGAATAAAGATTAGAGAGAGCTAGATTAAAGATTGTTTCAGTAAGAATTAGACACGTATCATTACGTTTTGCCAATTCTTCTTCAAGAGCGAGACAAGGAAGTTGATGCTCATCTGAACATTCTGAAAGAGCTGCTTCTCTTCCATGGAAAGGTTACCAACAGCAACACCCATACACAGAACCTTCTTCAGCTGGAACTTCACAGTCGCTTTGGTCTCGTTCACCTTTCCTTCCAATGACTCTTGGTGACTCACCAGCGTTGGGAACTTTCCTGTACACCACCAGCACAATAATCAAAGAAAGTTCAGACAAAACTGATTCAAACACCTAATTATGTGGAGACTTCAGAAACAGATTTCAAAGAAACTCACCGGCTTTGTTAAGACCAGGACCAAGAAGACGGGGGATCTGCTTGATGACGGACTCAGAAGCCAAGAAAGCATGGTACTTCTTTGCAAGCTTCTTAACAAGCTTCTTGTTCTTGTTGAGCTTTTTCAAAGCCTCAACATCCATGGAGTCTAGTCCCATCTTCTCAGCCTAATCTCATTCCCATACCCCCAAAGATTTAGCATTCAATACACAAACACTCAACCAACACATTTAATAAGGGATATAATGAATTTGACTCACCTCCTCAACATGCTGAGCATCTCCAAGCATACAGACCTTCATTTTAGGGCGAGGAATGTGTGGGAGCTTGACAGATCCACTGAAACGCTTGTCCTTTTGTGGGTCATAGTTCTTCAGACCAATCTGAAGCTCAATTGTCTCCGTAAAGTTACGTTTCTTCTCCTCAGATTTGCCCTTGATGGTTGTTATGGCTTCTCTAAGAGCCTCACTCTGAAGCTTACTGTACAATCACATTTTAAACTCAAATTAGAACAAAACATTGCCAACTAAGCAAACAATCATACCATGTGAATCAGACAAGACATAAACTAAGCACAGACAAGAACAGTGGCAACATAGATCTATCTATCTTATATGAAAACTGTGAGATGTTTTAGGCTTTTACCTCATCTTGAGTTTTTCTCAGTTGATGAATATCTGAACCTGTAAACAAGTAACCGAAAACGTTAAAGAAATGTTTACGAAATCACAGTGTACACAATCAACGAGAGAGACGACACCATGAAGGAGACGAACCTGATAGGTGAAGCAGAGGAAACCCTATTCTGCGTGTGAGGCGGCTTGAAGAATTTATACGAGATAACAGAAGCAAAAATGAATGGAAGATAGTAAACCCTAGCTAGACTGATAACGTGACTTGGGCCTTTTTTATATTGGCGGGCCTTCGGAATCAGTAACAAAATAAGCCCATCTTTAGTTTTTATTGTTCTTTTTTTAACTTTAGCTTAAAATTTTTTTTTCTAATTTAATTATAGTGATGAAAATGCAGATATTAAGCGTGTATTGTTACAAAAAAAAGTGTGTCTAGATTTTATAAGTTGAGGATGGTATTTCAGTAAGTTATATTTTATGAGATATTTCGTCATTCAGTCTAATTTGCAGTAATTTTGTATGATAAATAACCTTCTACATACAGAAGCTATAAACGTACTGCTCCACTTTTCTGTAAGAGTCTTCCTTTGGATTGTAGTTGTAGATGCCAAACTCAACGTTTATCAATCTCGTTCTTGATCATGGCTTACTCTATAAGAGAAAAAAATAGGGTTAATTTAAATTGAATCGTAAGGGTCTCCAAACACAACCAACGTTTCATATGATAGTTCTTAAATGACAAATTGCTAGTTAACAATTTAAAATCGTAAATGTCTCGAAGCACAAGAGAGTTCTAAGAGTTGTGTTGGGGTTGATACAACTTTTGATTTTCCCCGAGCAATAACGCCCTTAGAACCGCATCGCAAGTACCATCATAATGTACGATCAAATGTCCCCCTTGAGGTATTTCATGATATTTGATCCAAGGCAGCTTATTCAAGATGCATCTATGAAGTTGAAACGGAACCACCTTGTCTTCCTTTCCATGCCATATATGTACAGAGCTCTCTCCACTCATCCTTACATCAGCTGGATCAAAGTCCCATTGCCCGAACCCCGCCAAGAAATCGTCTTTTAGAGTATCAAATACACTCCTTTCCCGTAGTTTATCCTACATACAAATAAGACCACTAAAAATTGAACTGAACCAAACCGAATCGATATTTCTTACAACGAACCAAACCAAAATTTGGCCTCATACCAAATAAGCAAAAACTCATATGTGAAATATACGGTATGGGATTACCTTAGTAAGCATAGGAAAACCGGTGGTTCTCTTGAGTACCTCAATGTCACTGCTGTTGAAATAGAGTTGATTGCTTTCAAGGACTGAAGTAGTTGATGGGAAGAGTTTCTGACTGATCCACCAATGTAACAGACCAGGTGCATATTTTGATATCCGAAAACACCACTTTATAAGCCCTCTCCTGTAGTCTTTCTTTATAAGCTTCTTAGAAAGCGACGGCCACCCATAGTTTACCACCGGAGCTATAAACGCCACTCCAGCTAGCCTGCAATAACTATCCCTACTTAGGTCTCGATTGTTTGCTTGCTATATTTATAAAATGTTACTTTACATATAAAACCACATATTTAACTTTTTATACCATAAAAAAATTTATACATTACTTTATATGCTTTTTAGGGGTGTCAAATGTAAACGCAAACACCACTTACTAGGCCTGGGCATAAAATCCAGAACCTGAAATCCGAACCGGACCCGAATTAAAAAAAACCCAACTGTTATCTGACCCGAAATGTTAAAATATCCGAACGGGTCTAGTAGGATGATACAAAAATATCTGAATCTGAGTGTTATCAAATCCGAATGGATAACCCGAAATATCTGTAATTAATAGTTAATATAAATATTTTAAATATAAATAAGTATTTCAAATATTGATTTCAATGTTTATTTTGATATGATACTACAATAAATATTAAAATACAAATAAATACCTTCAAAGTTTTATAAGGTTGACAATTCTTACCTGTGAGGTATGTGTTTAAGGCAACTCCACGTAGGATATGATCCCATGGAAACTCCAATTAAGTAAAACTTGGGTCCTATCTGCAACTTATGAGCAAGTTCTTCTATGTCAAGTGCTTCGCTTTGCAACGAACGTTCCGGGTTTGGATCAGAATCTCCATATCCAGCTCGGTCGTAGAGCAGAAAATATACACCTAGCTCTTCTATCAACTCCTAAAGAATCCAGGAGAGATAAGATAAGTCAACTTTACAAAAACCAAAAACCCCAAAAAGGCCCAAAATATTATAATATACTTTTGAAGCAGAGAAGTGCATCTCTTTGGAGCTTCCAAACCCATGAATAAGAATAATCTTGTACTTGGCTTCATTCTTTGGAACACCTCTCTCTTTATAAGCTAGGAATCTCCCATCTCGGAGTTGAATTCTGTTCACTGAATCTGTAACTTGATTCCTCTGCTTTCACAACATATCATATGTAAGTACAAAAATGTAGAACTTACAAGTTTCTTGAAGAATTAAGAGAAACGTACTGGGCAAGAAATGGATGGCTTTGTTTCTCGCAAGAAGCTGAAACTGCTTGGAAGATCTGTTTTGGGTTTTGGATCTTGTGGTGAGAGAATGGTTTCTTGACATGATGATGTAAGATGAGGAAGAAGAGTTGAAGAAGAAGAAGAAGAAGAAGAAGAAGTAATTATCTTCCTTGTTCTTTGTTGATTCAAGTTGTGAAATCCTAGACGCCTCATTTTTGTTTGAATTGTAAAAGTTTCAATCTCATTTGATTCCAAAACGCTATATGTTGGATTGCCATTTTTCCCAGTTTCTTTTTTTTTTCATTTTGGATATCCGGATATTCCTTTATTCCAGCCAGTCCTGATCGTCCTACTCTTTGTTTTTTTTTTGTTTACAACTCTTTGTTTTAGTTTTTAATTTTTAAGGATGTTCATTTTATTGGTAATTACTGGACGAATTTTTCAACTAATTATTATGAGCATTATATAGCCGACTAAAAAAACTAAATTTGTGATGGAATCCTGACGAGGGTATCTATTGCAAATTCGTTGAAAATGTATGTCATTTTCATTTATAAGTATCACTTCTCCTTAGTCACAACAAATCACAAAAAAAACATGGGTCCTCCTGAATATTTTCGTTCGTGGGTGGATGGATAACCATATGCTATATAGATCCGGCTATAAATTTAATTACATAAGACAATACACATGATATTATACAACCGTAATGGGAACAACTCTCATATTTAATCATGTGACAGGAGCGTTACCAACCCGAATTCTTGGGTTGCTTCTTGCAACATCAAAAGCACTCAGATCTTATATGGCGAGCTTTCTGTCAATTGAGGTGTTTGAAGATGGTAATATACTAATATGGGAGAATAATGACCTAGTTACATAAAAAGTTAGAAAAATCTAAATTGCTAATTAAAAAAAACAGCATGTCGATCACCATCATCTCACCCCGCCTTCTCACATTATGGGCCTTCCAAAATCGAAGTAGTCTCATCTGAACAGTCTGTCTGCAGCAGCCAACCTTCAGCTCCAAGAAGTGAACCTGAGACATCGCCATGTTGGAGGAGTTTCAGTGATAATGGACACGAACTTTGGATTTCAAAAGCAAAAGATTTCGCTTTGTTGTTCATACGCTTCAATTTTATATGCAACGAAGGAGGTGAAAGATGATTTAAAGAAGTAATGAAGAGTACATAGTGGGAATAGTGGGGTAGCTTGATTGATTGCCATTTTCGCAGAGTCTAACGTCGTCTTCTTAGACGAAAGGGGAATCGCCAAAAATACATTTCCTTACTCTGGCGAAAGGAGAAAGCTATGACTTCTTTAAATTAATTATAAAATAGGATAAGACATGCGCATTGCACTGAATAACTTTTTAAAAAAAAATAATTAAAATTATTATATGAAAAAATAAATCTATAGATTGAATTAATATTTAGATTTTTAAACAGTTTTTTTTTAACTTTTTTTTTACTTACATAATTTGTTTACTGATGAGCTGATCTTATTTTTTTAAAAAATTTAGGTCAAAATATCAATTACTGCAAAGAACCTAACGTTTAGGTCGAAAAATCTCAGTTCTATTTGGTTACAATGAAACTATGGCACCTCGATTTTATATCATGGTTTAACAATTTAAAAACTAATTATAGTTATGAAAAGTTTACATTCACGTGTCAGTCCTATCTATCATCCATATTTTTCTTTTTTTTGTGTTTTTTTCATATTGGTTATTGCTTGATATAAATATTAATTTTGAAATTTATTCTCATTTCATTTTTTTATTTTGGTATGAGATTTAGAAAATGCTTAAGATTTAAAATAATTAAAGAGATACATACTTAAGTTAAGATTTGAACTTTTTGTAAAACAAATATTTTATACTTATAATTCATTTTAGTTTTTTCTACATATTATGCAATAATAAGTATATATATTAAATAATTAAGAAATCAGTTACTATTATATGATAAATTGGCGTATGCATATAATCTAATGATCACTCTTGTTTATTTGCAATTGAGATAAATAAATCAAAACAATCAATCTTATCTATCCTATATGATATATAATTATATTTAAATGATATTAACATATATATATATATAAATCACACTTTTAATATGGATATTTATTAAATGAGATTTCTATTCATATGATTTTATGATTATTTAACAAAATTTTACACCAACAATTTTTTTTGAATGTAAGATGTTTAGTAGTTTCAATAATTTATAATCATTAAAAAAACAATGACAGATTTTGAAATTAAAATGTTAACTTTTCAGTATATATCCAATGCAAATATCAAAATATAAGTATGTATTTTCATATGATGTATAGTTTAATTTAAACGATATGAAATATAATATATATATATATGTATATATAGTAATCTAAAACCTATTAAAATAAAATTATTTCTTCATATGGTCTTATAATCATTTAATTTTGATATAGAAAAATTTTTAAACCTTGATCATAAAAGTTTATGTGAGACTTTTACAGTTTTAGTAATTTATACTCATTTTGAAAAATTCGAAATACAACATACACAAAAAATAGTTTTTTTATTAGATGATTAATGTAATTGTGTAATTTATTTTAATGGGAGAATAATGATCTAGTTACATAAAAAGTTAGAAAATGTTATGGACCAATTAGTGAATGGGCCTTAACCATTAGATAGATTAGGACTAGCCCAATGGTCGTGTGACCCAATAGTCTAGGCGGCTGGTCCATTTTCCTTTTCTATGTATTTCCAATTCCTTGTTACTTTAGGAATTGGATGTTTTCCATTTATCTTGTTCTTGTATCCCATATATATATGGAACCTCTAAAGCATGAATAAGACACAGATTTCACTTTGGTTTACAACTACGTTATCAGCACGAATTGCTCTGGTAATTCAAGCAAAGAAATCTGCAAAACCCTAATCGAGCTCTCTCTCTCATCCGACCAGCCTCCACCCGAGCCGAGTTTCCTTTTTACCCGGCTAGACCTTCACCCGATTTCCTTTTTCCGACCAGCCGCCTCGACCAAGTTTCCTTTTTCCGGTGGAAGCCCTAGCCGATAGCAGAACCGAGCCGTTCCAGCCGCCAGAGAATTTTCTTTTCTCGTCCAAGAACCCTAGACGACCCGGTGATCCGTTCGCGGTCTTCTCTCCTGTTCTTGGTGGTCCGGTTACTTTAAATCTGCAAAAGAAAAGGTATACACATTAATCTAAGAACATAGAAACAATCACCATAGATTTTAAGATTATTTTGCTAAACCCTAAAATTTGATTGAACTAGAATTTGATTCTCCCTTCTACCTTTCTTTCACCCTCATCTTGAAATCAATTCCAAATTAATTTTGTTTGATTGTTTCTGTGATCATATCTGAGAATTTAAAAACCCTAATTTATGGAATTGTAACCCTAAACCCTAAAATCGGTTTTTAATTTGTTTTTAATTGTTTAAATTGATTGTTTGAGGTTTAGGATTGTTAGATTGATTGTTTATTTTAAAGAACCTAAATCCTAAAGGCCTTGAAACCTTTTTAAGATCATAAGGCCTTGAAACCTTAAACCCTAATCTGATTTATGATTGATTGCATAAAAAGTTTTTTTTTTTTAAGAAAACTGATTTTTATGATTGTAAAAGTTTTAAAACCTATTTTAAGAATTGTTAAAACCCTATTGAATGATTTTTATGAAAGTTTTAACTCTGATTTCAAGTTTTAAAATTTTTAAAAGTTGATTGGATGATTGCTTTATATTAGCCGCCTGTTTTAAAGTTCTTGGGGCCTTGAAAACCCTAATTTTTCTTGATTTTAAAATTTGACCTAAGGGCCTTGAAACCCTAATTACCACAATTAATAAAATCAGGGGGAGAATTAGTATGTTTGATTTTGTTTAATTGTGTGATTGAATGATTTTATGAATTGCATCATATTGTTGAAATTGGTTGCATTCATATTGTTTAATAAATCGACCAGCATATGTTTTTAATGTCATCTCACCCATTCCGACCAATGCTGAACCATATGAGTTTTGAATGATCATAATGGTGTGTTTTTGTTTGTCTTCACAATGATCATTGTAGTTACAAGTATGGTTTGGTTTGTGGTTGTAAAGTAGTCAAGGAATCACAAGTTTTTATGAAACCCTAATGTGTGTGGTTTATGTGATTCAGATGTCTAAGATTGCAAACCTTGACTACTCAGCTCTCAATCTCTC